ATATATCGATTATCTATGCCAACTTTTACAGAGAGTCGGTCTTTTGAGTTATTCCGAATAAGAGTTTATAGAAAATCTACTAGAACACCTAGATGTAGAAAGGAAGCGTCTTTCGCAAATCTGAAATTTTTGGATATAAAAAGCTTTTTACAAGCGGAGGCACGATCCCACGACCTCCACATTTTGAGATTAATTTGCTACTAACTGCGCTACGGAAGCAACGGAAACATCCCATCTATGCTTTGATGTTTGTGTTGATTTTGTTTTATTTTATGACTGACTTTTTTATGACTGATTTTATGACTAAAGCTGCTACAGATGGCCAACGGTGTCTCTGACAGTTTACTCACTTTTATTAATGACGTATTATTTCAATTCTATACAAAACACTGACGTTACTGGAAAGCTCATTTTCGCCATAGCTAGAAGTCCGTGTACAATATTCACAGGTTATTCGCAATCTTCTAAGTCGGGCTATTTGTGGTTTACGTGAACTAATGTTAACACTAACGCTCGTGTTGCTTAGGACATTAACTTATTTCCCTATGGCTGGATTTTTGGAAAAGGAGTTCTTTCTTATGTGGCAACCTAGAAGAAGTGCACTATATCTTTCTTTATCAAACACTACGAGGTTGCAAGTTTGGATCGCCACCACAGTCTTCGCAGATTTAGCAAAGCTACAAAGGACATCGGATTCTAGAAGCCTTCTTGTACTTGCACTACTAACACTTTCGTATTGAAGGCCTCTTTAGGATCACAGTAATGAAGACCACTGTTTCGGGATTTTTGACGACAAGTATAAACGGATGGCTCCCAAGTGTTTTGCGTTCGTTTGTTGGAGGCAGCTGCGAATCACTTCGTATGCGATATCCAGTCATCTATGTATGCAAACCTAAAGCATCCGTGTACGACTATGCTTGTCTATTATTTATTACATGACTCGTAATCAGATCTACCGTGTGGTTGCCAGCACTTTCTGCATTTGATTCGCTTTCCTCTCATTCATCACCCACAAAGGTCTTCGGTGATTTCATGTGTCATTACGGCTGCTGCTTGAGAATTCAGTTTTCTATTTTCTTTGCAATCTAGGGAACAAACAAACTTGGGCGTTTTCACGTGGAATGGGAAGGAGTGTTGGTGAGGAGTCGAGCCAGAGGATTACTTTCTGATGGACTGCACCCCTAAGCACTCCAGTAGAAATCGATTAAACGTTCTGCGAATCTTCTTAGATTGTTAGAATAATATGAGGTTGATAAACATATTTATTCGGCAAATGTTTCGACGTTTTCGCCTTCCTCAGAACCGCGTTGGTCCAAGTCGATGGTCCATAAGTGGTTGTTGTCGCGATGTGATTATTTTTTGTAGCATCGAGTTGAATCCAATCGAAGAAGCACCGCACGAATCTTTACAAATAATTACTCTCAGTTTTATCTCTACTACAAGAATAACAGTGTACAATGCAATTGCTTGGACGTTTGGATGACCAGTTTCCACCCTACGATATCCACCACAATCTCCATTTGAAATTTTGACAGGTCGGGTTTTTTTAATAGAACTCAGAGGTAGCCGTGGTAAAGCGCTTCCAGATGAGCAATTTTCCTCTTGTTTTAAACGACACAAGGGATAAGGGATAGAGCACGTCGAGGTGCGTTTTAATTAATACAGTGATCGTTGTTTCGATCCTGAGAAACCACAACTTACATGCTTCTGGATTAAGGTAGTAGAGCTTCCCGGTGGGGTAAAAACAACGAGCACATCCATAGTCTCCAGCAAGTCAGCTTATCAACCAAATGTGCATCCAATAATCTACACGATGCTCGATGATGTCGAATGCAGTCTGCATCCTTCTTGGCATGACTAACACCGAACTCTTTATCTTTGCACATAGTATTTTCTGACACAACAAATACATTATGAAGACCATAAGATGTTGATTTTTTCGTGTTTTTTCACGAAGAGTGGAGAAAACATGGGAGACACACTGGTTTCAAAATTTTTTCTCCAATTTCCAATCCTGTGACGTTCAGGTGTGAGGATCACAATCACGGCTTCAAGAAATTTGTAAACCATTTTGAACTATAGCGCCATAGATATGAAAGTGCAGCTCCAGGAACGCTGTACAAACATCCCGATTTTAATTCCCTCTTTGTTACACTGCGAAGATTTCAATGAAGTATTAAATCCTTTGTAATGAAGCTGTTCTACTTGACAATAATCTCGTCTCAGTCTTCAGTGAACTGTAGATATGTGCACTGTGCAACTAAAAATTGGGAACACTTTCAAAATTTCAATGTATAACTTTTTATTTACTGTTTATTATTTTTTCACGGCAGCGTATTATGCGAAATAAAACCACAGTGATGCTGAGATATTTGCGAAATCTCAAACCCAGGACCAGATTCGGAGACGCGATTACCCTTTCCGGGAGCTCATGTGTTACCCACTGCACCACTGACGCCGTTGCTTTGCATTTCTCTTAGCCAGTTTTTTTGCCCTAACGGTGCCACCAGCAATAATCCATCAACGGAAATAATCTGGGGAGCACAAATCGGCATAAATCGGCATAGACCCCAGTTAAGCTGAAGCTGCAAATTGTTATCATAATGTCGACGTCACAATTAACTTTTATTTACTGCCTATTATATTTTTATGATTGGATATTATGCGAAATACAACTACAGTGATGCTGAGACATCTTAAAACTAACCTTCATTAAACCTCGGTAACAATAACCAGAAAATTTTTACACATGAATCAGTTCTCCATGGATCCCGACACGAGTTTGGTATAAAAGTTTTTTTCAGCTAATGTTTCGTCCGACTCATTCCATCACATCCATAGTTCACGAACGTCTTTGGATTTGAGTGTTGGCTCGGCTGTTGTTTAAGGACTTTCGCCTTCTTTATGAATGCTGCTGAATATAAGTAGAATCAGTTCTCCATGGATCCTTGGGATAGCAGCGTTAAGGGATTTCCATGTGAAAAGGAGAGAGTGAACGGATCTCAGACAAGTCTGGTACCAATTTTGACACTATAGAGGAATGAGAGGTTTTGTCGGACCATTGTCTTTGTCGTAATGAACGACATGACTATCCTTGTTCTACTGTCCTCTTCGAAAAAATATAATAAAGTGAAAATTGTACTTAAAAATTAGAATTTATGAGGTTTTTATGTTCCCGGTGAAAAAATCTTCAGAGCAAGAACATCTCAAATCTTTTACAAAGAGCTGAAATAACTGAGATATTTTAAATTGAAATTGAAAATGAGCATTCCGCGACTCTTATAGAGGGCGTGTCGTAGCGTAAATGTCAAGGGTGACGCTCTTCCTAACCTTTCCGGATGCAGACTTTTCCGCTCTGATATCCAGGAGTAAAAACGACTGACTCGTATTCATCTTCTCAAACTCTAAAACAATAACTAGTACTGCCATTTCCTTTCTAGAAGATCCATTTAAATCAATTCTTTGCAAAAGTCTTCAGGTGCCGACGCAGATTAGAGCATGCTTCCTGTCCAATACGAATTCTTGTCGGCGTGTGAACTCGATGGTTTCAGTAAACAAGTTTTTCAGGATCATTTGCTACACTCATGTGCTGTGTGCTGAATGCGCTGCGCATTCCCTATCGGTGTTTTTAATAGTTAGCTACCCCGTATTATATCCCACAATGCACAATGCCATGTGTGAAGGTACTGGAGTTTTGAGTAAACCGCTGATTGTCATGGTTGCTGTGGTGAACCGAGGCTATCGCTTAATCAGAATATGCTATTGACTAGAGGAAACGACTGATCCCTCATTCGGCAAAATAAACATGCGATACTAACAACCAACAATACAGATTCCGGCTGCACAAAAACAAAATGAACATAAGACAGATCTATTTTAAATATGAAGAAATGAACACATAGGAACGCAAGAACATTCCCATTCGGAAGATGTAACTCAATTTGGTGATCAGAAACAGCAAATTCAATTCCTTAATCTGTTATCTTCATTGCAACATATCTGCTTGCTTACGTTTATGTAAGACAGCTACAAGGATTCAACGTTTACCTTACTGAGTATTGAAAAGTACATTCCACGCATACAGATACACTTGATACATATAATGGCTCGTCCAAAACTAAAAAATAAGCATGCACCAGCAAAGTTCGCATCCGACAGCTACTTGGTTGACTCCTCAGGGTTTTCGTTACTGACGCCCACATGGTGGCAGATGGTTGCCAAACACTCTGTGGCCCGCAGAGAGTTTACCGACTTAAGCCTGGATTCCTCTATGAGAGCGGATAACCTTCCTACGCGTCTACTCCTAGTAAAGCTTTCAAATTGAACCGTCAGACTCATGATATTAACCTTCCTTTGTGATAAAAACAACGCCTAACTCCAGGTGGGACATTGCTTATCACTTCAAGATGTGGCAGTATTCTACATAGAAAACCCTCCTCAACGGTTAATCTCCATGGCAATGTGTAAGCCACTGAAGTAATATAAAGTACAATGCCATTACTTCACCTCTTGAATCAGTTTATGATAGAACGAATAGCAGATGTCGAAAGATTTGATGGTCATGCAAACAATACAGAAAGTCGGGGTTAGAGTAAAAGGGAAAGAAATGAGTATAACACACTCGAGAAAGGAAAACATGAATAATCAACCATATGAAACAATTACATAACGGAAACAAAACTCTCCTTCATAACGAACGGTTTAAATGCCTTAAGAGAAACGCCTCCTGAAACTACGAAGATTTACAACGACACAGTGAAAGAGTTTGCTGACTGGTACTCTGATATGAGCCACTCAATGAAACTGCGAAAATTTACAAGAACACCACGAATGAAAGGGTATTCTGAAATGAACTATCTTCAAAATAATCCAAAGAATGGGTGTGAACAGATAACTTCCTAGAACTTTCCGTTTAACACAATGTACAATCTGCATTCATTTAAGATTCTAAAGAATTAAAATATAATAAATTTCCTTTGCATTTCATGCAATAAACGACATTATTCAGATGCATCATCAATACCACCGGAAGTAATAGCAAACGTTGCCTCAGCTTCTGGTAGGCTGGGGCTTTGATGAACTTTGCAGATCCTCGTTTCACCGCGGCCTTTGCGCAAACCCAATCTTAAGAAACTGTAACGTAAATTCAGCAATGATGATTAAAACAGTAGAAGATAAGGAAGAACGCATAAACGAAAAAACAACAGTGAAGGAAGGACCATTACAGGTAACGCATTATTGCTTAACAAAACAATAACCTTTGAACTGAAAAGAGGATCGTTGGAGGTAAGTCATTCTTAGTTAACAAAAAAAAATGACACCTGAACGATCTCAAGATGCACAAAATTATCTGATTTCCCTATAAGAGATCATAAGTAGCTTGTTGTCATTAGTTTGCTGTCGGCCTCCGGCCAAAGCGCGGATGACTAGCGCAAAGCTAAACGGAACATGTGCATAATATAGTACTTGGTCTGATGTTAAATCAAGTGAACACTCTAGCACTGTTCTGCAGGATATATTACACCTTCGTACACATAACAACTCAATCAAAAATGTTAGAGGTACGTACTAAGTGATTCTAAGTAGGCTGAAACAATTAAGTACTAAGTCTATTTTATGATAGCATAAGTGCTATCCAATAGCAATATGCAGCGATTGCAACACATCCTACAGAATCAGGGATGGCTCAGCACCAAAAAGCGGTAATGTATAAGTCATGTACGAAATATGTTATGTGTTGGAGTGCTCTTCGGTGGTTCTATAATTAACTAGGCTATTGGTTGTAGAGCTGAGATACGATCAAGCACGGCGCTGGTTTGATCCCGCTCCGAGTTTACCAAGCCTCTCATCCCTCCGGGCTCGGGAAATTTATACAGGACTTGTCCTGGAAAAATCACTTTCTGTAATTCAATTTGGAACGCTCTAGCGCGGCTATCTCAGGATTCCACAGAGCATAGACTCGAACAGCTTTCTACGACAATTAAGATAAAATGAAAGTTCTTCATGCGACAGCTGAAGCCATAAGAAAAAAAGTTGGAAGACCGTAGTGGAGAACGGATACGAGTAAACGAATCGAATGTGACAATTGCTGGGAACCGCAGAGTAGATGTGAAGACAGATCGTACAAAAATTTTTTAAAAAGTTGATATATTGTCGTACCGTGTTGTACTCATGTGAGCAACTATGTTCCCGCCTATCGGTTTTTTCGCATCTACTTGAAACATTGTTCCACCATCAACCTGCGCCACAACCTAAAAAATCAATGATGAAATATAGAGTATAATAATAAAAGGTTAAAGCTCGCGGCGTTGACCAATCCCTGAGGGATGCACCATGCATCCGATTTCATTAAGCATCGTTGGAGGTGACTGAATGAATATCTGGCCCTCACAGCGATTTGCAGTGGCCAACCGATGTATCGGCAGCGCCGTTATCTTCCCAGATAAGTCTGGTACAAATTTGCAGACCCCGGAAGGATAGAATGCTTAGTGAATCTAGTGCGAGAGGATCGACCATGTGTATTACAGCGCACCTCCAATAACTGCACTACACGAGCTCCTGATATATGGTATATATATATATATATATATATATATATATATAGGCAAAAGCAAAAAGCGAAAGTAGGAAAACCACAACATAAATAAAAATATTACATTAATTTCGATTTAAACTTTATCAACAGAGGAGTTCACTTCTTCAGAAGCAGATGACTACCTTGAAGAAAAGATATGAATGAAAAGTTGCACAGAACGAAAGGTTATTCGAAAAATACTATGTCCTACTTTCAAAACTATTTCGTTTTTCAATGACCCGTGCGGTGCGGTGGTGAACGCACTACTCCCCGGAAAGGACAATAGCGCGTTCGTTCCCCACCGCATACACCTGCGGTCCGGACATTTGGAAATATCTCAGCATCATTGAAGTTATATTTCACAATGTATGCCGTGCCCTTAAAAAGAGTAGGCGGTAAATAATAAGTTAAAATTATTTCGTTTTCTTAATTCTAAGGAAATCCATACAAGGGAAAGATCGACTCAAATACCTGGTTGGTAATCACAACTGCTACACCAAACTCATCAGCAAGTTTAATTAGGAGTCGCATCATTCTAAAATGATTGATGAGTCTACAGACTACAGATTTAAAAAAAACAGCAGATATTTTAAGATACAAGAGTAAGGCCTGAGAATTACTGCAGAGTAAATATAAAACAAAACAGTTTGTAGACAGTCAGTCAAAAGAATGTCCTTCCTTACTTTGAAAGAGCCATTTGCCGAGATGCCAGTTCTCCTCTACCACAATAATCTCTCCTAGAAGAAAACTAAATTCTTCCCTAACGATTTCACTGAAAATCTGTCCAGTACTTGAAATAAAGTTCGGCTGAAACATGAGAGCAAACTTACCTAAATAATCCTGTAGCACTATCGACAATCAATAAAGCATATCTACTTTCTGCCATCATCGCGGCTATAAGCAAAGGAAAAAGTCTTTTTTATTCTACTATCACTCTAATAACATTGAATAGGAAAAACTTCGGCAAACTGTTGAATTTGAATTCAACAATACTGGATGATTACTCAGGTTGCAAGGAACATTCCTACGAAAACTTTTCTTCGCAATATTTACATCATTTCACATTTTCATTGTTACAATTCTTCTTATAGTAATAATGACATTATACTTCCATGTGATTTCTGTGCGGTTAGTCTCTACGTGACATACTTAGTGGAGACCTCACAGAAAGCGGCTCTGAGGAAGGCGAAATCCGCCGAAACGTCAGCTCATTTGTGAATAAAGAATAATAACACCTCACGTTTGCTCAACAAAAATGCGAAGAATTACTTGATCAATGCCGAGGTTAACAGAAAGTCGGTCGTGGGAGTTACAATGGGGAATGTCTCAGCCTCCCAACTTTTTAACGCCTCATCGTGGCCGGGATGTGCTCCTGAGTGTTGGGTCGCAATGAATAGCGGAGTGATTCATCCCTCCAGCAGTCTCACAAGGTGAGAAGGAGTCCGGCGGTTTCCCTCAGGAAGCCCAGCTAAGAGCGAACCAATAACAGGATCCACCACCATCCTGCTATTAAAATAGCATGGTGGCAAATCTCCCTCTGATCTACAGGAACGACGACTGCCTGTGCTGCTGACGACCTAGAGCACACTTTGGCTAGGCTGACCTCGGGTCACCAGGGAACCACAATGACTAGACCAGCAAAATTTCGATAAAGTGGAAATCATGCTGAGGCCCGCACAACCAATGAAGACGGACCATCCAAGTACCTAAGTAAGCAAGTAAGAATGTCACTCACTCACACTGCAATCATCACTAGTGAACAAACTATTAGTTAAGTCACATGTAATGTAAACAAACCTGCGGTTGTGAGAAGCGAAATCTGATGGTCCGAGTTATAACAGCGGGCGACGGCGATATTTTCCAAGACGTGCTTACTTTCCATATTGAAACTAAAGACGGTGAACATCGATGAACAATTCAGCACCGTGTTTTATAAATGAGAATATCGGTAATCTACTTTGGCACTGCAAGACGTGCACAGATCATTTTTAAAAAAAGTGAAAATGGTATGAATTAGGTTCTTCACCGCTCGGCTATTGGAAGTAAACGTTCTGGTCGAAATGTTCCCTCTGTATCAATCCACATACACTTCCCTGAAGTTGTGAGAAAAAGACGAACATGAGAAAATTGTCCTATGAAAATTGCTGAGGAAATAAAGTACCTTCAGCTCCTCCCATTGATATCGGTAATTGGCAAATTACTGACAAACTATGACATATTTGACTTTTTCCTGTACGATATTCACCGAAGATCTGAAGTGGAAAATACAAAAAAGAACATTTAAATAGCTCTCAAACAGGAATGGCAACGAATACCTCCGTAATGTGACCTGTCTCAACACCACCACCAATAAGCCTGTCCAATGAAGACGAGCCCGTTCGAATTTGTATTAACTCGCTACGTCGCTCGTGGACCTCATAAGCAGTTGTAAAACCCATAGGCACTAACTTCATAGCCTCATACTTAAAACGAACAGTTCGCATTAACAAGATGAAAAATGATGCCTCTGATTTTTAAAAGCAACCACGTATAAACCGGAATATATTATGCACTCGCCTTTGAAACAACTTGTGGTAGATTTAATGCGCGACGTATAAAACTTAGTTACTTGGATGGGCCGTCCTCACTGGTTGTGCGGACCCCAACAAAGTTCCATTTTTTCGGAGTTTTGCCAGTCTAGCCATTGTGGTTCGCTGGAGTACCGCGGTCAGCCTAGCTAAAGTCTGTCCCAGGCCGTCACCGCCACAGGCAGTCGCCGTTTTTTGTGGATCAGAGGGTGATTTGCCACCATGTGATCAGTTCCATATCAGGATGGTGACGGATCCTGGTATTGGTTCACTCTTAGCTACGCTTCCTGATGGAAACGTCGGACTCCTTCTCCACCTGGGAGACTCTGCTGGGAAGACCAATCCTCCTGCTATACATCCCAGCCCGACAACCAGGAACACCTCCCAGTAAACCGTTAGAAGAAATGAAGAATTTAGGGGCAAAAACGGGGACGCTATTTTTGGAACAAAACCCCAGAGTTAGGAAAAGAAACTACATCCGAAAAAAGACATACCAACAGCTTATCTGCTTTCTGCTCACTGATTCCCTTCACAGATGCAATCTCACTTCGCATTGCATGGGCTATGCGTTCGACCGTATTGAAACCAGCTTCCTTGAGGCGTTTGATGTCTCCTGTGCTGATTCCTGTTTGCTGTAGGGAAATTAAGCACTTATTTTTAAACCGCACATCACTAAAGTCAAGGATAAAATTAGTGTCATGGCTTCCTACTCCTTATGGAGGAGTAAATATAACAACACCTTTACAAAGGGTAATAATAGTTCAGAACCGAGTTACCTTTAACCTCAGTATGACTAATTAATATGTCTCCCTCTTTGATAAGCTTGCACGAGGTAGACAAATAATCTTCATTTTTGGCTAACGTTTCGACGTCTTCGTCTTCACCAAAGCCGATGACCTGCATCAAGGGTTTAAAGTTGCTCGTTTTCTCGGTATGGCGTCTTCGACTTCGAAGATCGAATGCAGACTATCAACTCGGATCATCGGCTCCGATGAAGGTGAAGACGTCGAAATGTTGGCCGGATAGAAGTTATACAACAACTTTGTGTATGCTTATCAAAAAAGGAATACATATTGAGGAAGTGTTAGAACCCAGCATTCAATCACTATGAGACCGAAAATGTGTAGCTTAGAAGGAAAACCGTTCTAGATGAAATCTGAACCATACTATTAATATTACTACGAAGTTATGAAGTCACTGTCACTAAATAGAAGAAAGAAAAAGTGTTCTGATACGGGCATATGGAGCCAAAAAGGCTTTAAAAGTCAACAAAGCTCGGATAAACTTCCCAGCCCTAAAAGAGTTATATACCTTCAGACAACATGAAACCTAAGTTAAAAAACAGAAAAATTCTGGATAGTTCTGTCCTAAGTAAAACGACAATCAGAGAAACTAAGTCGGACATGATACGTTATGACGTCATGTCCAAAACACTGTAAACGAAACTGATACCAACCTCAAGTCTTTCGATTAATATGAAAGACGTCTGCTCTTCCTGTTGCTCATTCGTAACTTCTTCAAAAGCAGTCTGAACGACCTCCTGCTCCCCGGCCCTCGAACGCTGTCGAGACAACTGAGCTGCCATTTGCTGAAAGTAAAAATAGGAAAGGACATGATCATCACTGCTCTTCATGGAGGATGATCCTCCACGAAGAAATCAAAACAACGAAATGGATTGAACGTACGCTTCGATGGGATTTATTAGTATCAGGGCCAATGTAAGTGAAAATCATGTAAGCAGAGTTCAGAGTCTACAAGAACGTCAGGAGGATTCATTCCAAAAGAAAGAAAAATGGAAAAGAAAGAGAAATTTGGTGCGTTGTAACGTCATCTCAACACCGATGTCTTCTTTGAATGATGCATACCTTATTTTTAATCTTGACATTGAAATGATTCCACCCTAACTTAGTGAAGTTGGGTTTCTAACATATAGTGGATACCATGGTGTTAGCCGTTACTGCACACGAGATAATGACATTTCGGATGTTCTCCTACGAGTGATGGCTACAAGTGAAGGGTGGCCAATTTTCAACGATGTACTGACAAAACTCATTGGTATATGTGTTCATCCAGGAATGGAAACCTAAGTTTTTGGTTAAAAAACAATCGGAAAACAGCTATATAATTACACAAAAGAAGGATAAAGCTCTCGGCGTTGATCACTCCCTGAGGTATGCGTTATACATTCGACTTCATTAAACATCGTTTGGGAGTGACTGAATGCATATCTGGCCTTTACAATGACTAGCGATGGCTTACTGATGTATCGAGCCACCGCTGCTAACCTCCCAGACAAGTCTGGTACCAATTTGCCCCACCGGAGGGATGGAAGGCCTGGTGGGCCATGGGAGCGGGATCGATTCCACGTGTGTCGCAGGACGCCTCCGACCACTGCGCAACACGCGCCCATTAATGTAATACTAAAAACAATAATGGACCACATAATATCAAATGGCAATATGGATGAAACAAATAAATATAAGCAATATTTTTTATGGGTAGTGTCGATCTCTCGTGGTAAATCTGCTGGTCAGTCAGCGCGTGCATTGGGTATCCTTCCTCCATTTACCGACACGGGCCAGGAACCCATAGAGGTGCCAGGATTAAAAATGGATCCATTTAAACAATCAGCGTTAGAAACGGTGACAAATATGACCCCATCAATAGCCTACCTACAAATACAAAGGGTTTTACTAAAGCATTGTATGGTAGTGTCCTCACTAGAGAACGACTGCATGCGTCACATCTCATAATTTCGAAACAAACTAAGGTGCAAGCAGCTAAGAGACCTATTGTAAAGAGCTATTATGTACGGAAGGGTTGGAAAATAAGCCGTTACGAAGGGAATTGGATGCCGCAGTTGCATGAAACGCGTAGAATTTCTAGGAAAAAATAGAGCATGAAAACGTCAAATGCACGCCATAATGAAGAATATGACGTATTTTGTCAGATATGGAAGAGAGACCTACTCATCAAAGAGAAAGAAAACCTGCAGCAAACCAAGATCAGGCAGTTGGCAAAGAATTGTTGAAATTTCGTAATTCGCGCCTTCGGCGAAAGATAAAGTAACGCGAGAGGGTTTAATCAAGCAAGAGCGCTCTAGACCGCTAGAGAAACGCCGGTGAGGGATGCAGAGGCGAAGCGACGGCGGTCGGCACTGGACGGAACGCCGCCCGTACGCTCGCTCAGGTCGGGTCTGCAGAGCGCCGGTGGCGGATCCGTTGTCGTTTGTCCTTGTCTCCCTTCATGGACTCCTTTCCAGAATTCTCAAGATTGTATTTGTGATTTGGTCGTCTCTTTAGAATGTTCATTGTCGCAGCGTTGCATATTGTGAACGTAGTCGACGCCGACTCATTCAGTTCTAGAAATCATATCGTCTGTCGTATTGCAACCTTGATAAGAAACGCTGATAAGTGTTCGATATAGGTGGAGTATTGTGAGTTTCATATCGACTCATAGCTGCTAGGACTCCCAGTTGTTCATTCATTGTCTCTTTTCTCGTCTTTCTTTTTTCTTTCTTTCATTCATCTTTTTTTTAGAGAGACGTTTGGTAGCATTGTAGCTGCGCTTTTAATCTGAGATAGCATGCCAGCGATTATTATGCAGAAAAGAGAAGAGCTTTGTCCTATTTTGTCAAATAGGGGGCTTAGGTTACTTTAGGAGAAGCACTTAACTGGAGCATTCTTTCAAGGGAGCCTTCGTGCCCTAGTGAATTAACCCGGCTCCATGGACGCGATAACTCACTTCTAGTAGTAAAGCTATGTTAATTACTAGTACAGTGCTATTGTGTTTGTATTCTGAACTTATGCAGTATGTTTCTTGCGATTACTCTACCAGAGAATTCAGATTGTTGTGTTATGTTGTTCAGCGTACATTAGCATTTGGGGTCTATATATCTGAATGGGATGTCCGGCGAGGATGACTGGCTAGTCCAAGCCGCCGCTCAAGAAGCTGGTATGCTTCACCTGGCGCCTGACTCATTTGAGGTAAGACCTTTATGAATCGCTAGTTCTTTTATGCTATCCTTGGTTTAAACAGATTGTATTTCTTTCTCAAAGTATCCTGTTAGAACTAGTTTTCCTTTATCAGGTACTGTTGTTGAACTACTTCCCAACGGTTTACCGCCTCATCGTGGCTGGGAGGTGTTCTTGGGTGTCGGGCAGCGATGTACAGCCGGGTATTCATCACCTGGCAGGGTCTCCTAATCTAAGAAGAAGTCCGGTGTTTCCATGAAGAAGACCAGTTAAGAGTAAGCCTATGCCAGTATCCACCACTATCCTGGTATCAAGCTACTTGCATGGTGGTAAATCTACCTCTTATCCACAAGGGCGGCGATTGCCTTGGTGGTGACAACCTGAGGTAGACTGGCTAGGCTGACCTCGGGACTCATGGAACTACAATGGCTAAATCAGTAAAACTCCGAGGAAATTAGTTTTGAGGGCGCATAAGTGGTGAAGACAGGCTTTCCAAGTATCCAACTATTGCTGAACTATAGGGGTAGGTAACACAGTGATGTCGACCATTGCGAGCACGGTGTTGCTTCGATCCCGTTTCGGGCTCGCCAAGCCTTTCATCCTTCCGTGGTTGGCGAAATTCGTATCGGACTTTTTCGGGAAAAAAAAATCACTGTCTGCGATCCAAGTGGGGTGTGCTCTAGCCCATCTATCTCAGGACTCTAAGAAGAATCGACTTAACGGACATTCTACGAAATTCAAGCTGAAATGAAAATCCTCAAGCAGCAGCCTAAGCCATACGTAAAGTGTTCAAAGACCTTCAGAGGTAATGGACATGAGGAAGTGAATCGAATGTGAGAAGTGCTGGAATTCGCACAGTGGATCTGAATGACGGGCGGGTCATGTAAGATAAAAATTGTTCAACTAGTTATATTCTTTGTTTAAACTCATCTTCGTATGCTAGAGGAACATGCGTGTTACCTTTTATTTCATATGCTTTTAATTTTTAAACATAAACGAGATTGTAAATGTAATAGAATCTAGCATTACTTCTCTTTGATACATTAAAAAAGAGGCTGAATATTGATAATATACTAAAGTCTATCAGACGATGGGGAAGGTACATTAGAGTCGAAGTTATGTCTACACCGATAACTATGGTCGTTCTTATCGCCCGTCGTTTCTATGGTCACCAGACGATTTTTTTTGCCATTAGTAACGTCGGCAGATAGGACTTTCAGGTGGCATAGCTACCTATTGAGTTCTTATCCGAGTGGTAAAAATGTCATCACTGCTTTCGTTCACATCTCCTTGCGAAGTGTTATCATGGGGGTGGTGGTTTTCATGACATAAATACTGCAGACCTCATTGGCTCACGGTTCTGATTGGTTATGGGTTAGATAAGTTTTGATCGGGTTTTGATTTGAAACGTTCGTAGCTAAAACGATTAGATGTTCATATTTAAACCTTAGCTGACGACAACTCAGTATTTCTTGGGACGCTGGGACTCAGCACCGTCGACGGCCATGTTTCTCCCTTCTGTTTCTCCTCAGTCTTAAGCCCAGATGCTTAGTCGGTCTTAGTTTTCTTAAGTAGTACATAACTGAACGCTTGCTATGTTATCATATGCTTATCTAAGTGAAGATTGCCGTTCTGCTCTTTGGTTTTCGCAGGTTCTTATGCTCTTATGGTTTTAGACACTAGGTCGTGCTCAATCTTTCACACATATTCCACGTAGTGTTTCCGCATCAAGGAAGGGCAAACTATACTTCTTCGTTTTCGACTGAGGCTTGCAATTCCCTTCCACAGTTGGTGTACTTGTCTTGGAGGTTGCACATAGTTGCATGCTGTGTACGTACTGGTCACCTCGTAATAGATTTTCGGTAAAATGTGTTTGTATATGATATGAATGTTCCTCAGAGGTTTTCATCTTATTGGTTGGAGATGCCTTCGACGAAGGAACTTAGTAGGACCAAGATATTATGTCTTCTTTCAAATCGATTGCAAAGAATAGCTTATATTTGTTTTTTTATGGACTTTACTGAGTTTCGATTAGTATTTGAATGTCGAATTCTTTTAGGACTCAGATCGCTTTGAAGGTGACTCTGAATGCTCGTGGGTTTCTAGTGAAAGCATCACATTGGCAAAGAATTGGCGTGGATGGTCTCATTGTTCACCTGACGATAACCTTCAGTCAGGTTTGTCACTTGAACACCAGTTGGTCACTTTTCACGTAAACTCCGTGATTCCTATGGTTACTTTTTTCTTAAATTAGGGAATTACAGGGATTTCGACTTGTATTTATCCTTACCAAAACAGCTATTCACGTTCTGGTCATTACTCTTCGTCATCAAATATAGCGACACTAAGGAATGGATCTAGCGATAAAGGTTGGCGGAAGACTTTGTCTTATATATCACATTTATGTGGTTTGTAGTTTCTGTGCTTTACTTTAGCTCCGCTGCTATTCTGGCTTTTGTTTATCGTTTCTCTTTTAAAACTAATGTTTTTGTTTCGTATTATGTATTAGTATGTTAAGCGTAAGGGTACGCGCGGAGCACAGTAGTCAGAGGTGCCCTGAACACATGGGATCAATCCCCACACCCCAGGCCCACCAAGCCCTCCATCCCTTCAGGGTTCTTAGATTGATTTGTCTAGGAGGTTAGCAACACTGGCTCGATACATCGGTAACTCACTGCGAGTCATCGTGTAGGCCAGATATGCATTCAACCACCTCTAACGATGTTAATGAAGTCAAACGCATGGTGCATCCTTAAGGGATTGATCAACGCCGCGAGCTTTATCCTTTATGTTTAGCATCAAGAAGCGTTTCTTCCCTATCCGATCTGTCTGCTCGAGTCTGTGCTCGTCAAATGTCTTTTGTAGAGCTGGAACGAAATTACCGCGATATATGTCAGAAGAAGGAGCACGTTGGTTTTGGAAATTATGCGTTTTTCTTTGGTTGTTTTTTTTTTTACTACAAATCACTTTATTTCAGATCAGTGAAATTCCTGTTGCGCATTCATTACCTGACAAATTATTTCTAAGCATAGTATATTGGTGCTTTCCGGCTACAGCGGACGACATTCGCTTGTATAGGTTCGCAACCTTCTTCGTCCTATTTCGTTGGATCTTTCAGTCAGTGATTCTCATCGTTCATGTAGTTGCCTCGCGAATGGGAATGCTGATGAATTCAATCACGGTGGTAGTTTGTATCAGACAGGAGCTGTGCGAGATGTGGTTCAAATTGGTATGTTTAAGGAAAGCCATGTTGGTCCCATTTTGGAGATCTCTTTCATGGTTATTTAGCACTGTTTTTTTACAATCTTTGTCAAGGTTGTGCTTTCGCGATGTCAATGGTTTGTCCATATATCGAAAACTCCGTAGCTATATCTGTTTACTAGCAGTTTTGGTATACTATGTTGTCTTTTATTTACTATTTTTTTCATGTAAGAGTACCATGTGAAATATGTGAAGCCACAGGAACGCTGATATATGGGGAAAACTGATTTTCGTTTGGATTTTGAACCGCGATCTTCCTTACGGGGTGCTCAAGTGCTAACGACCACAGCAATCGAGACCTCCATTTTGCCATTCTCTCTGCCAGTTTTTACTCTATCGGCGGTACCAGCTGTGCGGTAAAGGTGATCGCGTCTTCAAAATCCAACTAAGACTGCGAGTTTTGCTCATATCTGTGCATCGTTGTGTTCTAATTTTAGCCTAATTCTAACGCATCCTCGACTATGTTGGTTTTTGACAAAAACCTCTCCATGAACAAAGTAATGGAGGAGTTGGGAAATTCACAGATTCGTAGGAGTCTTTTCGCATTAAGACCTTGCATATCATGTGCAGAAGTTCTTGTATCTTGTTTGGGTTTAAAATTCTCGGAGAATTGGAAGCGTGTCCTTTTTTGGTGCTTTTAAAGTTTTAGAAAGCTTGGAAGCGACGAAAATCAATGATATATTCGAGAAGCTATCTTGTGGTGCCGAATGGAATCCTTGTTCACTTGCTTTCGTATTCGAAATATTATTGTCGCATAAAAGCGTGGAAAAATTTTTTTCTTGGGCTGGAGAAAATTGGAATTGTTTCATGATAGAATAGAGTATCCGTATTTTGTAACCATGAATATGTAGGTTCTGGTTTTTTTTTTCCTGAGCTAGCAGAGTTCTTTATGAATTGGAATTTGTTGATTTGAAGTCGGAAGTGGTCATTTTCATGCCATATGACTGAGCCCACGTCATCGGAAATGTGTCGGTGTCATTTTTTAGGTTACTTACTTTCTGCCGTAGTTTTCGCATCGCATCAAGAATGTGTACAAGCACAGCGACATTCTCGCGTTGTCCACAATGTATCGTTGAATGTAGATCGGTACGTCGTTGTCTTTATTCACCACCCGGGTTTTATTTTTGTATTATTTATATCTTCTCAGTACCAATATCGGGTATAGCATATCGAAGAGTTTATTATTTTATTTATTTTTCTTTTTTTAGATTTTATTCCTTAATATTTCGGCGCGTGTAGCGCAGTGGTCGGAGGCGCCCTAAGATACACACACATGGGATTGATTCCCGCGACCCAGGCTTGTCAAGCCTTCCATCCCTCTGGACTCAGTAAATTGATACCAAACTTGTCTGGCAGGATAGTAGCGCAGGCTTAATACATTGGTAGGCCACGGTCATTGTAAAGGTCAGATACACGAAGTCGAATGCGTAGCGCATCCCTAAGAGATTGCTCAACGCTTTATCCTTTTATTTATGCTTAGTGTTTAAATTTCATACATGCATAAGCCTGATGCGCACTCACATATCGGTTTATTGGTTTTTAAAAATGCGTTCTATACTCACATACAGCCAGATATTATACTGTATCAGTCATATAACTAGTGCTGTACGACAAGATTATTTTTTTCTTACTCTCCTATGGCAGTCATTCTTTTTCAGATGTAGGATAGTCTCATGTGATTGCTCTTGTGCATCCAAATCGGCTTGGTGCCAGCACGTGGTCGCTGTTTGTTTGTATAGGATTCATCAACCCAATGAGGTACAATTCAGGTAGGATACAATGGTTTATTACTTTGTCGCTTAACAGTTGCATCGCACGGTTTTACCATATTGCTTACTTATTGGGTCATCCGTTGAATGTAATGTTGAGAAGTAACGAAGACGTGTAGTTATTTGCACGAAGGGATTATTAGGCTTCAGTAATATAATTCTTATTTCAAAATCTTTGTACTTTGAAATCCGTTGCCGTGTTTTTTGAATCTGATTTTAGGGTGACAATTTGGGACTCTGTGAATGAACTTTCAATGGCTAAACTCAAAAAATTTGCACAATATTTGGTAAACGAGCTTCCAAAAGAAGTAAGAATGGATTTGTATAACCGAATTTCTCGAGTATCTTAACGTAACTTTTAGTATCTTCCTGTTGCACAACGATTGCTTGATCAGCTCAAGTGTTCAGAATCAGAAATAAATCGGTCACCTGGTGCTCCAGATCCGACTGATGGAGGACACGAGAAGGTTCGTTTGAATAATATACGAAGGCTTTTACTTTTCACGTATTATTGGAGTACTTTGGTGGACTTTCATAAAAACCGATTTTACTTTTATGTGTGATTGACCTGATACGAGTTTGGTACAAAATCTTTTATTCGGCAGCAGTTTCGTCTTCTTGGCCTTCTTCAGAGATGGGTTGAGCCAAGTTGATGATCCAGTCACATTGTAGACGTTCGTAGTCGCATCGAGTCGAATTGAGTTTAAGAGCACCGCTCGAATGATGAGCTTCACTCAGCGGTGCTCTTTAGCTCATGTGTTCAACATCGGTGTAATTCGACAGGAACGTTGTCTTGTTCGAAAATTGTGGTGCTGTTCACGGTAGTTTGATATTTCCGGAAGTTAATCCAGTATGAGTTGTGCTCCAAAAAAATTTTATGGTATGTTATACGGGTTATCAGAGATGAAGACGTCGAAGTAGAGCGATTTTTGTTAGCTCCATAACGTGACAAGTGGTTATGGCGATCTTGTGAGTTTCCACCAACTTACGCTCATTTTGCAGCAGTTATGTGAGTTTTTTTGATAGTGTACAATTTTTTCTCCTGATTTTTCTTACTGAGGGATCTCCAAGCGATTGGGAGTGGCGCATTTTACTGCGGCGTTACTTGGCGCATCTCCTTGGAATCAGATAAGCGGTAGATGAAGATCAAAAGCTACCGATCGTGTGCTTAATGTGACTCGCAGATGAGCTCACCAGAAGCTCCGTGGTTTTCGATATGTAAGGCTGACATATGTCATCTGTGTAAATTGACAAACTCATTTGTGCTTCGCGTGTAGCAATCCAACTGTTGGTGTTTTACTTAACTATTGAGTCGGCCCACTCATATGTCTTGCGGGTCGAGTTTGTCTTTCATTGATTCTACTGCCTTGTAGTCGTCATTTATGGAGGTCATCGAGTCGAGTTCATATGTATAAGCGGCTGCGGTTTGAAGACCATTCACCTCTTCTTTTTGTTGACATATTGATTGGCGGTTGATTCGTTTAACCGTGATGGTCAAGACCATTCATGGTAATTCGCTATTCCAAAAGCGAGAACTTTTCCAGAATTCGAATGATCTCCTAATGGAGGATAGTGTCATAATTTAGCAGTGTCAGCCGTAGTATTTATTTCTTAATTTGTTTGGGGTTACTGTTTTTCGTAAAAAGAGAATGCTTATAAAATTAAGGAACGAATATATCGGTTAGAAATGCACCCGCATTATCCAACACTGCGATGGTACTAAGAAGACCGCGGTTTTAGAGTTAACAACTGACACCGGTTTCCAGAACCTGATATAATACGCCGCACAGAATTGCATGAACAGTAGAGAACTACCAACTTATGTGCGAACTTGCAAAGCTCTGCAGAGAAGTTTTAAGCTGTGAACAGTACTAATGGCCAAGGAAATGTTTGCTGACAACAGCACTTGCAACGCCCACAGACACAAGGACGACTTGTACCTACCATCTGTCCGTCGTTTACGAGCTCAGTATTAGATTCCTTCCCCTCAGAATTGAGAAAACATTGAACGAAGAGCAACCATACAGCGGACTGGGCGTTGGAAAGACTTCAGCGCGACGATTCATGGCCACTGTGAATTAAACGAAGACAGAAGTGCCTGCAGAGGTTCTGCACACCCAGAGCAATCTTGTATAATGCACATGGATTTTTTAGGCCTGTACAACATCTTAACAGTTAAAATCTTATCTTTTTTTTTATTAGACCAACGAGTTGATACTATTCCGCGAAAACTATTTACAACCCCTCTCTCAAGCAACTGAAAACGGGAATGGGTTAATGTGGGAGTGAACGTTGGCAGCTGACAGCTAGATCATCTTTGCTTTGCTGATTATATAGTTTTTATAACGTCAACCATTAATCCGACAACGATTGCCAACCGATTTTGACAAGACCCATAGAATATTTGGTCTTCACTTGAATCTCCAGATGGCCGACTTTAACTTGAGACGGTTTGTTTCTGATGCCGCCATCTTCCTGCCGATTTTCTCGACTCCTCGATTCCTCTTATGTCAATTTTCGCCTTGAAGCTACATGGGTGAGACGAAACATCAATTAGTTTGATCTTGGTTTGATGCTGGAGTATCCCGGGCAAAAGTGATATTCATCCAGCTTTCCGACCTACGTCATCGGTCAGAAATCGGGTACTTCTGTGCATCTGAGGGTATCGAAAATTGACCGTGTTCGATATGTAATGAGTATTGAGGAAAAGCGGTGAACAAGAATCGTTATAGAGTCCCTCCTTCGAAATGGTTCCATGTCCACACTATAAACACCACCAATTCGATGATTGAAGTTGTTAACAAACATCTTAGGAGACAAATATGTTACTCATCGAGTCTTAAAGCGGCGAAATTCCCTAGCCAATTTGTCGCAGCAGGGATAAGTGGAAGTATTGCTAACACGCGCTTTATATTGCGTGTTCGTCAAGTGATATAGGTGGTTGTCTTTTGTTGTTTTTTGGGCTATGAGTTTAGTTTTGGTTCTTCAGTAACATAGAAGAGGTCAGTTCTCGCTGTCATCCTTTAGTAGCACAGATCACATTCAACCCGGACATCTGTTTCTCCTTTAGAATGCTATTTGGACACTTGACGTTGAAGGCTTACACACGAGCATACGTCGCTTGCTGATTAAATATTGTGTTCCAGCTCCTACTGTGCACTGGTATGAATCTTTATATGAATTATTTTATAAACCATGCCTTCATAAGATGTTCGTTTCTTCAAAGTAGGTAAATTTCAGTGATGTGCAGTATCTCGGTACAGCGCAGCATCCGATTGCCGCCGAGTGGTTGACAATAATGAAGTCCTTGCGTGCAAGAGAACCAGAGGGTATGCTTGTCAGATTTCATAGTTGAGTAGCAAGTTTTTGGAAAGTCATGATTAAGGTATCTGGAATTTAATGGCCATCGTGCGTGAGATGTTTGCACGCCGAGATGAAAACGCGGTGTCGTTACTGAGCATTTTAACTGTTGAATGTCTTGCCAATTGTCAGGTGGTGCAGCAGCTGCAATTAAATGACTTTTTTTGTTTAAGATTTGTTATATTCCTATCTATTCCTTTTCCATTAAAGTGATATGAGTGTAAAACATCCTTAAATTTAGGTTCTCCTTTGGTGGTACGTAACAAAACTTGTTCAAGGTGGAAATTGGTTCCAACAAACAACAGGTTAGCGCAGGAACACTGTAAATTGCGCTTAAAATTGCTTATTGACACAAAATTATGTTCCTTGTTGTGATGTCAGGATCCTCCCAACGGTTTACCGCGTCATTGAGGCTAGGAGGTGTTGCTGGGTGTCGGACTGCGATGCACAGCGGGGATTCATCCCCGCGGCAGGGTCTCCCAAGAGGAGTCGGGTATTTTCGTCAGGAAACCTAGCTAAGCGTAAACCAATACGAGGATCGACTACCGTCCTGGTATTAAACTAGTCCCATATTGGCAAACCTCTCTTTAATCTACAAGGGTTGCGACGGCCAGTGGTGGTGACGATCTGGGGCTGACCTCGGGACTCCAATGAATTACAATGGCCAAAGTAGCAAAACTTCGAAAAAGTGAGGATTTTGTTGAGGTCCACACAATTAGTGAGGACAGGCCACTCAAGTATTCAAATAAGTCAGTGTTGCTCTGCATGATGTTTATATTCGTATGCGATTTTCAGCCTAGGTAATTATGGAGTAGGAACGTTCGAAATGCGTTGTTAAAATAAATAGCTGTTTTAATAGCGTGATTGTAATTAAATCTTCCGTAATGAGTACAGATTTTTGACATTGTGGGAAGCTCAAGTGAGGTTCAACACTTAATGTGCAGTTGTTTGGTAAATCTGCAGATTTTGCAAGACCTTAAACGAAGGTGTAGTATTTCGTACCTTTCACAGTATTCGCCATAAAAGAGTGACGTTTTTAAAATAACAAAATATTGCTTACAAAACCGCCAAGGTAAAAACCTGGCTGAGAGAAATGTAAAGCAAGGACCTTAGTTGGTATGGTACACAGCGTGTAAGCGCCTGATAAGTGTAATCGCGGGTTCAAAGCCTATCTGTTGTTCCGAGTTTTGTTCCTATCTTATCGCGATGGCTAAAAAATATTGTTGTTACAATCTTAACCTTTTTATTTACTGCCTATTATTTTTTAACGGTAGGATGTCTTGCGAAATATAACTACTACAATGCTGAGATATTTGCAAAACTCCGGACCGCAGGTGTTTGCGGTGGGGAACGAACGTGCTATTGTCCTTTCCGGGGAGTAACGCGTTCGCCACCACACCATGCGGGTTCTTCATGACAGGCGAAACGAAGAACCCGCATGATGTGGAGGTGAACGCGTTACTTCCCGGAAAGGACAATAACGCGTTCGTTCCCCACCGCAAACACCTGCGGTCCGGAGTTTTGCGAGTATCTCAGAATTGTAGTAATTGTTGTTACTTTTTAAATCCAATTCTCGTCCAGCCTGTGTTAATATCTGATGCTTATATGTGTGTGCAAGCACATATTTATACATGTATATATACGTGCCCACGTACGTTTGTATGTATATGCAAGTATATACTCTGTTCTGATGATAAGCAGACACGAGGTTAGTATTACAGTTTATTCACAATAGTTGACGTTTTGGTCGTTTCGCCTTTTCTAGAACTAGGTGTGGTTAAATTAACATGTAATATAGTTAGTCAAGCACGCATAAACTCAGCAGATAAAACTTTATACGTGATTTTTGTTTCCTTACTAAACAGATTGTTTGGAACACTCACCGTTTTGCTCTTGATCCGGTGATTCACTTTTCTCCTGGTAATTAAGGGAAACGCTAATTTTCAGGCAAGAACTCAGTTAGTAGCCAAATCAGCGCCCAACTAAACTGTGCTCAACTCTGTGATGAGATTGTTACTCTGTGGCGTTGTGCAGTGTTGAATCCAATGCTGTCCCCGCAGAACCGAAGGCAGGTACGAAACTTTTGCTTTTTCAAACAGTTCATTGACTACCTAGTGTTTCTACATTTGGTTTTCCTTAATATCACCCATATCAATGTCGCATATCAAGAGTAACATTAACATCAGTGTTGGGCGCAGATAAAGGAATAATGTTGTCGGCGGTAATCAATGCATGAAGGGTGCACTATGCAGTCAACTTCATTGAACATCGTTAGGGATGACTGAATGCATATCTGGCCTATGCAATGACTCGCGGTGGCCTACCTATTTATCGAGCCAAGTGCTGCTGTCGTCCCAGACAAGTCCGGAACCAATTTCACAAGCGCGTGGGTGGAGGGCTTGGTGAACCTGTGGCACCGAATCAAAGCTATGTGTGTTGCAGAGCGCCTCAGGCTACTGTGCTACAAGTGGTCCAGGCTTCGGACCAAGAAGACAAAAACTAGAAGACCTGTTTCTAAGGATGAAATCACTGAAATGATACATCGAGAGGCCACCGCAGATCATTGTATGGGTCAGATATGAATTCAATCATCTGTACGATGATTAATGGAGAGGAATGTAGATCCATCAAATATTGATCAACTCGTGGGGCTTTTTACGCCTTATTTGCACTGTATGTTAACACAACCGAAAATTGGATGACTCCATCGTCTGTGAGTTTCTTAAACACCGAGAAATTCTTAAATGTTCAACAGTGCGTAAGTTTTGCTTGCTTTTTTAATTCGTATAACTTGAAATCAGTGTTATATATGGTTATATATGTTTCCATATATAGCTTGCTGCACTTCTTCGTACCTACCATCGTACTGCAGTGGAGCGGATATGGAAGGTGATACGAGGCAGCGGGGGACAAGACGCCGCTGTCGTGAGTAGCAGCCACCAGGTAACCCAAAGTAGTTACGTGACTTTTTCGTTCCTAGTACTAGATTAAGTAGGTGTTTGTGTTTATACGTTACATATATACTGTGCTATTAGGCGGCTTTATTACTGAACTCAATCCAAGATGTAAAAGGCTGTTCTCTGTCTATCAACAATGCTCATTTCGGGTTGCAGCAGTTCCCTGGATTTCATCCATGTTTGCAGGTTTTGTTTGCTTATTTTTTCTTGTATAGTTTATAGTTTCGCAGTTTCAATTCGTTATTTCAGGTGTGTCATGCATTGATAGATGAAAGCGTGCCGGGTGTAAATCAAGTTGCTGTTTTACATCTTCCTGAGGTTTGTAGGGATTCAGATGGCGATTGGTTTTCTGTAATTAACTTTGGCTCTATAGGCTTGTGGGAGTGATTCTAACGTACCGTTACAGCCACTTATTGCATCTACTTCTCAGCAGAAGAGGAATGAAAAGGGAAAGAAAAAGAAGAAAAAGGTCTGTGGTTCATATTACTAAGGAAAGTATTTAATTTCTAAACGAGCATGTGTCTTACATTCATTTGTGTATAAATATGGTGATGATTTCGGTTTTAACGTACTTGTTTACAGTACATGCAAGCATGATGGCCATTAGAGATTTTTTCCCTCTTCTTCCTTAAAAATTTTCTTCAGACCCGACTTCGTTCGACGGTCCCTCTATCCTCACTTGATTTCCCTCCGCTACCAATTTTCAATGATGAGGTGTCACTTAATCGAGCTGTTCGCTATGCAATTAAAGCTGCCGTTAGGGTACATGTGGAATTTCGACTAAACATTTTTATTTGTATCGGATTACCATATTATGTTTAGGGAGAGTGTGATCGCCGTGGTAAGGTAACTCGCAATAACAGTGTTCGAGAGGATGACAGCTCAGAGTCGGGGCAAGAGAGTGATGTTCAGGTGAAGAGTGCAGGCATATAAGATTTGGTGTATTATGGAAATGATATGACTAAAATATTTAAGATTGCCGAAATAATGGCCTGATATTTTTCTTCTTGAATAACGTTTAATTACCATAGGTATGGAACTCCATATTGAAACTGGTACAAGAATTCGGTGTTCGACTGAAAATATGTTCGACTTATCCAATGTTTTTACCACTCATAATCAGTTTGAAACAAGTAGCATCGATTAAGAGATCTTTAAACTGGAATATTGTGTTGAGTTCACCCTTCTTAGTGGAAATTTGGTGCCTACAGCGCAGTGGTCGGAGACACAGTGCAACACACACGTGGAATCGGTCCCCGAGTCAATGGCCCACCAATTCTTTCACTCCTCCGGGGTCGATAAATTAGTGCCGGACTTGTCTGGGAGGATAGCAGAACTGGGTCGATGCATCGGTAGGCCACCATGAGCAATTTTAAAGGCCAGATATGCATTGAGTCACCTCCAACGATGCTTAATGAAGTCGAATGTATGGCGCATCCCTCAGGGATTGATCAACGCGGAGAGCTTTATCCTCTAGTGGAACTTTCTCGATACGTGTAATAATCTCGATATTCGTTTATCTTAGATTCATTCATGTAGATTACCAACTGTAATGTGTTACCTCCACAAACGTTTTTTAAACCAATTTCCGAGTAATTTTTTGATGGTTGTTGATAGTCTAATAGGCAGGGTATTAAATAAATTTTTTATTAGCTACCTCCATCTATGAGCGATGCTCAACTAGGTGGTGGTGTTTGCCTTGTTCAAGAGGAAATTGACTCAGTATTAGCTGCCGCTTATCTCCCCATGGAGCCACTCGAAGTTCGATTTGCACGTTGTGAGGCACTAGCTGCTCATGGTTACATACCTCAGGTGAGGGTCAGCTGTTTCCAATTTTAAACGTTGTGTTGTTTCTCTTCTAATTGGAAAGAGTACCTATTTTCTCGTACCGTTGTGTTTACAGCAGTGATTTGTTCACCTCCTACGTTTTATTAAATTCAAATGCAGCGAGTGGTATGATGTATTACATAAATGCTGTATTTTAGCATTTCAGGCCACAACTCTGGCTTTGCAACTTGCTGATTATCTAATCGATCATCTTCAAGATCTTTCCGATGTAGAAGAAACCAGAGCAAACATTGTTTGTTTTAATTTGATTGTTCTCTTTCCATCTTTCATGTGTCGATTTTAGATAAATGTAACGGGAAACGGTCCAGATGTAGCTGTGGATTCTGCTGAATCCCTTATAATTCGCAGCGAACGATTCGTTGACATGCTTGAGAAAGCTCTTTATCTTGCTCATGTACGTAGTCTTTTTGAACAATATATTATATGTTTTATTCTTGTTTCTTTTCAAAAATTAACTCTAAGTATCATGTGTAATGTTGTTGTCTTAGATACTAAGTACAGACCAAGCTAATCATGCTGGTATGTTCACCTTCCTCTTGAGTGTTCTCCAGTGTCCAAAGTTTCCAATGGCAACGAAATATCTTCAAGTGAAGCTATATTACTTGGTATGAAATATGGTTTTCTCAGCCTATTAGGAATTATTTCGCCGAATTATACAGGTTATATGTGTATAGGAAGCAGAGGTTGTCTCTTTGCTGCAAATAGTGAGTGTTGGATCACGTGAGATAAGTCAGCTAAGAGATGCGGCGGTCCAGATATCATCTACTGTCGCCTATCAAATTGTGCCGCCTATAGCCTTGGCTCATTTCATACTCGATCGGTTGGATTATGCATATAATATGTGCGAAGTGGATCAGAACGGGTACGCACTAGGTTGACTTCCAGCATATTCTATATTGTTTAAGATCTATTTATATTGAAGGCATCAGAATAACCGCGTACTACCACATCACCTGGAATCACGTGGACCTCTTGATGGCGACATTGCTCTTAAAGCTGCTTTAGATGCACTTGGCTCTCGCTCCTTATTTTCTGAAGAGGACTATCCACAGTTAAGTGAAGCTGTGCGTAGACAAAAGGGTGAACTCGCAATCGCATTGCTAACAAGGTTAGTGTTATCAATAATCATTATCACTTCATCATTATGTGAGTGTTATAATTAAAACACTTCGTCTAATTGTCGAAATGCCACCTTATGCTTAAAAGAGTTTCTGTTCCGTTTTCACTGAATACTGAATTTTCAATTTTGAGCAATCAGATTTCATCGTATCGGGTTTTAAAATCACTCGGCTCCACGTATTATGCGGATCCCAGCCTTCCATTCGTTTCGTTCGTTCGTGCCTACCATGCACGTAGATCTTCGAACAGGTCTCTTCGAACCTTTTGCATAAGAGTCCGGCTGCTTTTTGGAGATTTTCTTCTTTGTGATGTCATTGAATGCCGGTCGTGTCGACTCTCCGCGTAATCCTCATTATAATCGTAATAGGGTAATTTCTACATATGTATATATACATTGTATACATATATATATAATATATGTACCTGCATATATTATGTACCATATGTATATATATATATATATATATATGTATATATATATATTAAAGATAATTGGTACGGACAAGTCTGGTACCAATTTTCCGACCTCTGAAAAATGAGAGACTCGGTGGGGCCGGGGTGTGGTGGAACCCTCGCCGTGCTCGTGTTGACCGACGCAACCGCCACTGCGCTAGTCGACTCCTCATTTCCTTTTTAATTAAAGTAACTACTGAAATCTGCAGATTATTATTTGCCTACAAAATATAAGTATTTTGCTGTACCACTTTCTGTTCTTCTGAGGTCAAAAAGTGACTTTTTTCTGGTTTTCTCATCAATGCTCCCATATCGATCAGCGATACGCTCTGGTAAACCGACTTCCCTCCACCACATCCTGATTTTGAAATAATCGTTGGTATTTCAGGCTGCCGTTCTCATATTGAGTTTTAAATTTATTTTTCCTTATCTTCGTTATTTTCATTTTGAGCAAGTTTAATGTTAAAATATTTTAGTAATTTAGTTTTTGGCAGTTGTAAAGAGGCCAACAATTTCATAAGTGTGTTAATGGGACGGATTATCAAATTTTGTTTTTCTTGAAAGTGAAACCCTTTTCAAAATAGGTGAGAGAAACTGTTTTTGATTTGGCGGTATGTTAAGATAATTCAGGCATAGAGACTCCACTGAGAAACTTGGCCTAATTTTGGATAAGCTTCTGGATCCATCAATCCATAGGATGTACTCGTGAGTTTTCTTCATCTCATGCCTGGTCTTTGTTAACATGTCTTTATCTTTTTACAAAAATGTTCTGAAAATTATTAAATTATTAAAATTTATATAAAAGTTGGATGCACCTTTAAATAAAAGCTTTTTTTATACACAACGAGGTCACCAAGTGTCTTGTTTTTGTAACTATCCGGCGAGAGCTTCATTTTTTTGAAGAAAGGAATGAAATGGATAATCCGATTTTATTACTTAGGGTCCCATGTGGGTTGATATCCACATACAGTGCGAAAATAACAGCGTCTTTCAATTTTAAGCCAGTGGCTGTCAGCTCAAAGTGAGCTTTATTAATTGAAGTAGTAGCCACTGGAATGTACAAAATCTTTGCCAGTAAAATACAAGACTTCTTATTCTACGGGATGAAATTCCGATTTTCTGAAATCTACCAAACGTATTTCTGCTCCTTTTTCCGTAAAAATTGGTGTTTCGAAAATCTAAGCAATTGAATAAGTGGTATCTCTTCCTTTCGAGCACAGCTTTATTCTTAGATACGTTGCCAATGTTTACCACTGCCTGGATCCCGTGTGGAACTTTATCAGGTTTTTTGGAAATTAGTCTTAGATTTCGACATCTATTTTTAAAATGATTTATCTCAGCTCGAACTTAATTTATCGAAGTCATAACCATCTCAATTAGTTTTTCAACACGAAATAAACTTATTTGTACAGGTTATATGAAATCCTGCAGTTCCAGAGGGGGTGAGTTTGTTGAAAGGAATTTTGACCTCAGCTTGGTTTGTGAAGCATTTCTCGTGGAGGAGGTTATAATTCTAAAGAAGTGCTAGTTGGTAGGCGAGAAATCTGGCGATTACTCTAAGGCAGAGTTTCATATCTCACCTTGTTCAACGTTTGCAATGTGTGTAGTGCGAAGTAGCACGGCGCATTATTGTGCAGAAGGTTTGTTGCATTTCTATTAACCCACGTAGGGCCAAGCCGTTAAAGGCTCTGGTATATTTATTCGAATGGCTGGATCTGCTTGTTTGTCGTTATTGTTTTACCCGGATTTAGGAAGCTGTGGTGGGCAAAAACAGCGGCCAGTCACCGAATAGTTAACATGAC